ACCCAGTGAAACTATCATTCACATTTGACAGTGAGACTAAAACTTTCCATCACAAACAAAAATTAAAGGAATTCATGAGCACTAAACCAGTATTACATTCTATACTAAAGAGAAGCATGCAATCTGAACAAAATAATTAAAGTCAAGGAAACACAGTATCACTACAAGACTAGTTTAGTGACCACAGGAAGCGGGAAGATGTAAACTACAGGAAAACAAGAAAATGGTAGGAAACATAACACATCTTTCTATAGTAACTTTAAACATTTACAAACTCAATTCCCTAACCAAAAGACATAGAGCAGCAGATTGTATTGAAAAACAAGATCCATCCATTTGTTTCCTCTAAAAAGACCATCTCACAGTCAAAGATAAAAATACATTTTGAATGAAGGATTAGAAAAATTCTTTCATGGAAATGCATCTTGCTAAAAGGCAAAAATAGCCCTATTGAAATCTGATGAAGATAGATTTTTTTCATTGAGACAAGGAAGGTTATTGCATATGAAAAAGGAATGATCCATGAAGAAGAAATCACAGTGGTCAATATTTATGCGCCAAATAATGGAGTACCTACATACATTAAACAAACACTCTCAGGCTTACAGAACATGATAGACCCCAGCACAATAGTAGTGGGAAATTTCAACACTCCACTCTGACAGGACAAGGAAAGAAGCCTCTGAATTAAATGACACTTTAACCCAAATGGGCTTAACAGATATCTACAGAACATTCCACCCAGCAATGACCCAATTCACATTCTTCTCAGTAGCCTGTGAAATGTTCTCCACAATTGATCTTATCATGGGACACAAAGAACTTAAGCAAGTACTAGAGGATTGAGATATCTCCTTGCATCCTCTGACCACAGTGGAACCAAACTAGTTCTCAACAACAAAACATATTGGAGAAAACACTCAAACACACTAACAAACTACTAAATAACACACAGGTCATGAAGAAATAAAGGAAGAAATTAGTAAGTCTGTACAATTCAATGAAAATGAAAACACATCACAAAGAAACCTCTGGGATACAGCAAAAGCAGTGCTGCGAGGGAAGTTCATAGCTCTAAGTGCACACATAAAACAGAATCAGCTCAAGTAAATGACCTCATGATGCAACTAAAACTGCTAGAAAAACAAGAACAAACCAAACCCCAAACTACTAGATGGAGAGAGATAGTCAACATTAGGGCAGAAATTAATGAAATAGAGACTAAAAGGAAAAATATTCATAAAATCACTGAAACAAAAAACTGGTTCTTGAAAAAAAGTCAGTAAAATTAACAGACCACTAGCTAGACTGATGAAGAAAAGAAGAGATTCAAATCAGGAAAATTAGAGATGCCATAGGAAACATTACAACAAACATCCAGGAAACCCAAATGATTATAAAGTACTTTCAAAACCTACACTCAAATAAGATGGAAAACATAGTAGAAATGGACAAATTTCTAGAGATGTAAAATGGCCTAAGCTGAACCAAGAAGCTATAAACCAGTTAAACAGACCCATAATACACAAAGACATTGAGGAAGTACTCAAAAGTCTTCCAACAGAAAAATCCCAGGCCCTGATGGATTCACAGATGAATTAGATAAGAATTTTTAAGATGAACTAACACCAATATTCCTTAAATTTTTGAAGAAACATTAACAGGATGGTTATTCCAAACTCAATCTATGAAACACATATCACACTCATCCCCAAACTTGGTAAGGATCCAACAAAAAAAGAGAACTATAGATCAATCTCTCTGATGAACACAGATTCACATCTCTTCAATAAAATATTAGCAGTTGGGTGCTAGCTACTCAAGAGGCTGCAATCTGAGGATAATAGTTCAAAGCCATCCTAGGCAGGAAAAGCTGTGAGACTCTATCTCCAATTAACTACTAGAAAATCAGAAGTGGAACTGTGGCTCAAAGTGGTAGAGCACTAGCCTGAGCAAAAAACCCCACAGGAACAGTGCGTAGGCCTTGAGTTCAAACCCCACAACTGACAAAAAGAAAAAGAAAAAAATAAAATAAAACACTAGCCAACAGAAGCTAGGAAGAGAAGGAAAATTCCTTAAAATAATAAAGGCTGTATGTGAAATACCAACAGCCAATATCATACTGAATGGTGAAAAACTACAACTATTTCCCCTAAAATCAGTAAAAAGACAAGGATGTCCACTCTCTCCACTCCTCTTCAATATAGTTCTGAAATTCCTAGCCAGATCAATAAGGCAAGAAAATGACATAAAAGGGATTCACATAGGGAAAGAAGAAACAAACTATCGCTTTGCTGACAACATGGATCTCATACCTAAATGACCCAAAAAACTCCACCCCCAAACTTCTAGAGCTAACCAAGCACTTTGGCAAAGTAGCAGGATACAAAATTAACCCACAAAAATTAGTAGACTTTCTCTATGTCAAAATCAAAAAACAATAGGAAATCAGGAAAACAACTCCATTTGCAATAGCCTCAAAATTAAAAAATAACCAACCTAGGAATGAGCCTACCAAAGATGTAAAAATATCTTTGCAGTAAAAACTATAAAAATTTGAAAAAAATCAAAGAGGACACTAGAAAATGGAAAGACCTCTCATGTTCATGGATAGGTAGAATCAATATTATGAAAATTGCCCTACTGCCAAAAATGACATATAAATTCAATCAATCCCCATCAGTTCTTTACTGAGATAAAGAAAAATAACCTACATATTCATATGAAACAACAAAAGTCCTGGAATAGCCTAAAGCAATTCTAGGCAAAAAAAAAAGTAATGAGGGTGGTATCACAGTATCAGACCTCAAGCTCTACTACAGAGCTATAATAACAAAAACAGCTTGGTATTGGCACAAAAATAGAACCAAAGATCAATGGAATAGATTAGAAGACTTAGAAATAAAAACATACACTTATGGTTACCTGATATTTGATAAGGGAGCCAAAGACATACAGTGGAAAAAAATGGCTTTTTCAATAGTTGGTTCTGTGAAAACTGGGCATCCATATGCAGAAAACTAAAAGTGGATCCCTGTTTGTCACTATGCACTAACATCAATTCAAACTGGATCGAAGATATCAACATCAGACCCAAAACTTTGACACTACTACAAGAGGGTAAGAGAAACATTAGAACTTATAGGTATAGGCAGAAACTTCTTGAAAGGAGTCCCAGGGGTGCAACAGATAGGAGAGAAACTTGACAAATGGGACGACATCAAAATAAAAAGTTTCTGCATCCGTAAGGACATAGTTACTAAACTAGAAAGACAGCCAACAGACTGGGAGAAGATTTTTACCAGCAATACATCAAAGACCTAATATCCTATAAATATAAGGAGCTAGAGAAACTAACCCTTCCTAAACCTAATAAGCCAATCACTAAATGGGCAAAGGAGCCAAGAAGAGATGTCCCAGAGAAGAAGTAAGAATGGTAAAGAAACACATAAGGAAACACTCATCATCTTTGTCCATAAAGAAAACACAAATCAAAACTCTGAGATTCCATTTCACCCGTTAGATTGCCCAACATTGTGAATTCACACACACACACACACACACACACACACACACACACACATATCAAAATGAACTCCAAGATAGGAAAACAGAGGATCTCTCTTTTTTTTGGGGGGGGGGGGGTCTGGTCTGGGCCTGGGCGCTGTCCCTCAGCTCTTCAGCTCAAGGCTAGCGCTCTACCACTTGAGCCACAGCGCCACTTCTGGCTTTTTTCTTTTTGCTTATGTGGTGCTGAGGAATCGAACCCAGGGCCTCATGCATGCAAGGCAAGCACTCTACCACTGAGCCACCTTCCCAGCCCCAGGATCTCTCTCTTTTAAAAAAATATTTTTGATGGTTCTCTCTTTTCTCTATGTATAGTGTATTTGCATGTATGTCTTCAGGAGAGTTGTGGGGGGATACAACATTCAAGGGGAAAAGGGTTAATGCAGCAATGGAGCTCACCGGACACTGATGAAAGTGAACTATACAACTCGTGAGTGGAGACAGGAGGGAGGGACTGGGAGAAAGGGAGGGAAGGGAAGACACTGTAAAAAAAGAAATGTTCTCATCACCTGACTCCAGTAATATAATCCCTCTGTAATCACCTTTATAATAACAATAAAGTGAATTAATAAAAGAAAAGAAGAGACTGCAAAGAGTTTCCTTCCTCTTCTCGGCTCTCAATCACATGGGGAAACAGCGCAGCAAGAAGACCCTCAACTGTAGCCTGAAGAGAGAGTGTCCTCACCGGAACCTGACCATGCTGACACATTCATCTTGAACTTGACAGACTCCAGGGCTATGAGAAATAGCATTTCTTTTTATTGGTATGTTTAGAAAAAAATCTCAGGGACAGCACCCAGGCCCTGGGTTCAAGCCCCAGGATCAGCACCTAATTAAAAAAAAAAATCAATGGAACTAGGACTCATATCTGTAATCCCAGCTGCTCATGACTGAGATCTTGTATTTTAGTTCAAAGCCTGCCTTGGCAGACAAATTTGTGAGATTTGTATCTCCAATTACACAACAAAAAGCTGGAACTGGAGGTGTAACTCTGGTGGGAGAGTGCCAGCCATCAGCAAAAAAGCTCAGTGAGAGGAGGAGGCCCTGTTACTGGTATAAAAAATCCAGTGAATATTGTAACATACATCCGTTTAGATAGAAATGAAGATGAAATAGATCTATATCATTAGTCTGGGAAGATTACCAAAACCCATTCTACTTTAGAAAATGATTTTAAAGAAAGAAAGAATGAGTGGGGGGATAAAGAAAAATGAAAAATAGAAGTCATAAATATGTACTCCTTTTTGGCTACACTCCTGTAAGCGCTATTACCATTATCCTCGCCTCAGAGAGTTATAACTGGAGTGGCTTGTTCAAGAATCACCACATACCAAGGTCACATCTGTTTCCACTCATTTCATCTGCCTCTTCTGGCTCTTGCTCCATTGCCCATGCATGTGTATGAATGTGTTTTTGGCTTCTATTTTCCTCAGGTGGGTACGTGCAGGCTTTGGAAGTGACTAAGGAAATCTCAGATTCAACAGCCTTCAGGTCAAGTTCCCCTTCAGAAGAGACCTATGATGATGTGGAGTATCCTAAGACAGACGTGTAAGTACCTGCAGTCATACAGCTCGACAATGCCAATGTGGTAGGACTATCAACTATAGCAAGTCAATGGCCTTTCTGTCCTTTCTCCCACAGACCAAAGCTGGACTTTTCAAGCTCATTTGCCTCTGAGAGTGGTACGTAGAGGAACAGCAATCTCTTCATTTCAAAAAGGGAACTGAGGACTGAGGACTGAGACCTGTAATGATGCACACAATGTATGAGTCAGGTTTTGAGCCTTGGGTTCAGACCTTTAATCCAGCATTGAGCTAAAGTCAAGCTATGAAGAAAGAGATTCCTCCAAACACATTTGGTTTCCTTTTGTACTTCCAGCACAATGTCTCATGTTTAAAAAAGACTCCAAGCCCGGTGCCAGTGGCTCACGCCTGTAATCCTACCTACTCAGGGGGCTGAGATCTGAGGATGGAGGTTCAAAGCCAACCTGGGCAGGAAAGTCTGTGAGACTCTAATCTCCAATAAACCACCAGAAAACTGGAAGTGGTGCTTTGGCTCAAGCGGTGGAGCACTAGCCTTGAGCTAAAGAGCTCAGGGACAGTGCCCAATCCCAGAGTTCAAGCCCAACGACCCATACACACACACACACACACAAAGACTCCAGTTGCTGCCTACTAAATATTGGAAAGGTGGAGGGGAAATGAAGGAATCTGTTGATAAACTTTCTTTTACTAAGTCAGATCAGACTTTGATTCAGAAATGAGTCATGTCATTCCTACACAGCTCTATAAAGGTTTAAGTTTTAAGCATATGTATGAAAACATACACATTTTAATAAAAACTATTGAAAGGAATGTACTAACATGTATTCAAATGCACTGTTTTGTTTGTTTGTTTTTTAGGTGTTCATCTAAAATCAGGTTTAGTAATAGAAGCCTGAGGTAGTCTTAGTCCAGGGCTTGGGCAGCTGAAGCAGTAGAATCGAGCAAGACCTTGTCTCAAAACAAAACAAACAAGCAAACAAAAATTATTGTTATTAGGACTGAACATAGTTTTCTTTATTTACTTTCAGAAGAAAATAGTGAAGAAATGTATGAAGATATCTATAAAACAAAGAGCAATCACCCCAAAATAGAGTGAGTTTCTTTTTTCTTGGCTTTGTGTATGCTCATGGTATTTTCATGTGTTAGGTGTGGCAGAGTTTAGGAAATGACCCTGACCCTGCGCCTGTCCTTTAGGATGGCCTCACATAGACTGGCCATAGGATACTAGAACTCTATGTTGTGATCCTTAGGTTATTTAGAAGTCTATATTGCTTTCTCTTTCGAGACCCTATTTCCCATAGCAGACAATTTTGCTATTGCAGTAGAAAATAAGTGAGAGGAAGAAAGTAACTATTAGTGAAACTTTCTTTAATTCTATGTTTACATTTCCTGGGTCAAGTGAATGACTATAACTTATCTTTGTCTTTACAAGTTAGGGGCACAAGTTCCTGGGATGTGGGCATTATTTAACATCTAGTAATTCACTGTTATCAAGAACTGAACAAAATTGTTCAGGGGCACATTATTTGTCACATTGTGGGAAGGAAAACCAACAAGGGTCAAAAGTAAGAAGAACAAAAAGTAAGAAGAACAAGGGTAGAAGGGAAAAAGATCCTAGCCTGGGCATGGGAGTGCAGTAATGAATCTGTTAATCTCCCTCTTTCACACCAATGAAACAAACCCAGAAAGACATCAGGAAGGATCTTGATCATCAACTAGGCATTGTTTTGCCACAGCCCTGTAATATTCAATAAACTTAAAATCAGTGATATAATTATAAACCACCCTAATCCATTTCTCCTCTAAAAAGAAGAAAGTATTCCACAGACTACCAAAATACACATCTTGGAGGTATATGAAAACTTGCATTGCTGTATAATTAGATCCTCTGTGTCTGGCTGGTGTGCGCTACTTTCTATTAGAATCTAAACAAAGAAAGGGGTAGTTGTTGGAAAGACATTTTTTTGAGTTTCTTTGAGTGGGGTATGATCTGGAAATCCAACTGAAGCCTTCCATATCTCTAGTATTCTCTCAAATTTCATGGTATTTATCCTCTGATTCCTCTTAGTTTAGATGGAAAAGAAACACTTAAAAGACTCCAACATTTCTTCAAAAAAGAAAAGGATAAACTTAAAATGAAGAAAACCAAATCAAAAGAAAATATAAGGTAAAAAGAACCCCATTTTATCTCTCTTTCTTGGAGGGGATTACACCTGGGCTGATGTTCCTCTCTTAACAGTGAAGGAAATTCTGGGAACTAAAACCCCAGGCCTGGAGTGAACCACAGCCATAAACTCCAATGAGAGAATGACATGTCCCTTTTGAAAAACCTGATATGGACAAATTCATCAATGAGAGTAGAGGGAAAACCTTAACCTAGCAAGTTCCAGATTGAAAATGTTGGTACCTGTTCATGCATTATGCTATTAATGATGTCCTTTTATGCTTGCTTGGCACCACGAGTCCCAGCAGTATTATCTGTATACAATGCCATCTTGAATTTGTCTCTTTCACAGACAGCAATATGTGGAGGGGGAGATGAGGTGTACTGCTGAATGGTTTATGTATCTCAAAGTCTTAGACCTGGAACCAGGCCCTCCAAGATAGCCTTGATAACTGCTAATCTTTAGTGAACACACACACATACATACACACAGTGAATATATAACCTGAGTTCTAGATTCAAGGGTCACTTACGCTGTTTATTCAGATTGCTACCATAGCAAACCACTTCTATTTGCACTCTCAAGGTAGCCATTCCATCCCGCATACCCTGGCAGACTACTGACAGCTCATGCTGAGCTATTGGTACAAATCATACAGTTAGGATCTGTGTATCTATATGCTGGTCAGGGATGGTAAAAATCATTTTCTGAGACTATCAGCTATATTGAGATGGAATTATGCTACTCTACCTTGAGGTTCTTTTTTAATTATAAATCTTTAAGATGTTGCAACTTGCAGTCTGCTTGTTAGAGCTAGATTCATCAAGGGAGCCCACCCTCTGTGGGAGCCATGCTCTCCCATTGTTTATATATATATATATATATATATATATATATATATATATATATATATATATATATTAATATAATTGTATTGTTATTATCAAGGTGTTCTACAAAGAGGTTAAAATTCCCTAAGTCAGGTAATGAGTACAATTCTTCTTGAACAATGTTTACCTCTTCTTTCACTTTCCCCCAGTTTCCCCCTCCTGTCCCTGCCCACAGTTGCATAGTTCATTTTTCACAGTGTGTATTGAATGCCACAATGGCATTTGTTCACCCTTCCTTTCTCTATTTCTCCAAGCTACTTCAAGGCAGAAATTATGTCTGAACCTCTTACATACTCAACCCAAAGGTTTGGTTCATGACAGCTGTTCCAATAATACCTATAAGACTGAATTTAAATTAACACTTAAAACATGTAGTTATTTTTTTCTTTGTCTACCGGTCCACAGTTCCTTCCATGTGATCTTCTTAGCTGTAAGATCAAAAGAGCAAAAGCAATCTTGATGGACCACATATATTTTCCCTCCTAACAGCTGACCATCTTACCTGGGCTAGATTTCTCTCCCTCAGTATTTCCCTGAAATTACCACATGGACAGGGTGTAGTATATGCAGAGTGTCTCGGTTAATTAGGGTGTAGTATATGCAGAGTGTCCCGGTTAATTCATGTGTAGCTTCTTCTGTCCCATCAATCCTTATGCACATTGGTTGTATTTGATGGGCCTCTTAGAAGACCAACAGACTGAAGCAGGATTCTCTAGAAAGACAAGGTCAGGAAGCAGGGAAGCTTGAAGTAAATAATTGGGAAATGGAGTCCCAGGCAGACCATGGGACCAAAACAGCTCACTTTGAACAACGCTGCAGGCTTGAATGCCTTGAGGCATTCATCTGGATTCAGACCCCCAGCCATCGACATGTTAGTTGGTATGTCTCAGCCAGTCTTTCTGAACATGATTTTTTCCTTTAACCTTTTCGTGTTTTTGTCAATCAACAGGGCGTTTTCCATTTCCCTGCCTGACTTGGGTAAGTAACATTTACCTGTGGTTGACCTTTGAGTCTTAGTATATTCCACAGCACTGGTATATTCAGTGACAAGGAAAGAAGAAAAATCCTCTAAACCTTCTCATAGCCAATGAAAAATAGGTCCATCAAAATCAGGAAAGCACTTATACAGTGATATTCCTTCCTTTGGGTACAATAGGAAGCATTTCTTAGGTGCTACCATGTACCAGACTGTAGGGTAGATGTATTTCCCTTAAAATCATGGAGAAACAGATGCAAACCTCCATTGTAGAGAGGCTGTAAGAGCCACACTCAAGCTTTAGTGATCTGGGGTTTGTATCCAAGTCTCTCTGAGTATGAAATCCATGCACTTTGCATTATACCACATTCCTTTTGGTTAATTTGATATCCAGATCAGTTTATTAAGGTGTAATAAATTGAATTTGAGCAGAATGTAGTGGCTCATGCCTGTAATCCCAGCTGGAAATGGAGAAAATACTAGTTTGAAGTCAACCAGGGAGAGAGAGAGACTAGGATGCCTCACTGTTTTTTTTCAATCACCCAGCTGAATTTCTTTCCAAGAGAACCTTTCTGCTCCAGCCTCTCAGGCTTGAGGATACACTTGTACAATTAGGTAATTGTGTATTCGTTTGGAAAACCAGCAATTGCATAAAGCATACCTAACAATCATGATTTTGACTCTATCTCCACTCTAGGTCTTAAGTCTCAGGAAGTTATTATCTATGATGATGTGGACACAAGTAAAAAAGAGCCAAAGTAAGTAAGTTTACTGTTCTAGTCATACCTGCTGACATTTGATGTTTCCTGACACCTCAGTAAATACTATCAGAGATGGAATTCAGAGTGTATAGTCATCTGCTATGGAGGGAAGACAATGACTCTCATAGGTGGTCCCACGGTCCTAGTGGCCCTAAAGGCCCTGGAGATTTGGAATCTGTTCTTGTTTCTTACCTTTGGATCTAGAGAACTGAAAATCTGTTTAACACAATTATTTAATGAATTCCTCATACCTGAAAAAATTCAGGAGAGCAATGACTATTTGATAGACTCTGTGTTTTCAAAAGTTACATATCTATAATTTGATAAAAGAGAAAAGAGAGAGAGAGAAGAGAGAAAGGACCCCTCTCTGGCTATTTGTCTTCCTTTTCCTCTCACCCAAATGGCTGAGGATAAAGATCGACCACTCATCTTCATCCATCCTACTCACTCACTGCAACTACACTTTTGTTCCTGTCAAATCAGAGAGCTAAATTTTGGTAAAGTCACTAATAGCCCTTTGTTAAATCCAGTGGAAAATTTCAAATGATCAACCTGAGCTTCTCTAAAATATCTTAAAATTCTGGTCATGCTATCCTCAAAAGAAAATTACCAATGTTTCCCTATGTTTCTATATTACTACTATTTCTCATTCCTTCTTTTTGCCTGCTCTCTGTGTGAAAGAGAGTCGATGTGTGTGTATATGTGTGTGTATGTAAGTGTCTGTGTGAGTGAGCAAGAGAGAGAGAAGGAGAGAGACCTATTTCTACACTTATATCTTAAAACTGTTCCTGAGACTTCTGTAATGATACTATTTTTTTCAGTACTAGGAATTGAGTTCACAGATCATACATGCTGGGCAAGCACTCTATGGCCTCTTATTTTTATTTTATTTTGCAGTAGGGTCTCTCTAAGTCACAGTCTGGCCTCAAATGTGTAATATTTTTGCTTTTGCAAGAAGCAATTTCATTTCAAGCAACTATCTCTAAGAAAAAAAGAAACAAATCTATGCACAAAATACCTATTTCAGGATGTTTATAAAATAAGAACCTAAATGCCCAAATATATAGTAAAATTATAAGCACATTACAGCAGATTACTCAATAAGGCCATTTAAATATATGCTAAATATATAGTGAATCATTTCCAGTGACCTGGAGAATACTTAGACTACAATGACAATTTAAAAATAGCAAAGTATGAAATTGTTATGTACAATATAATCTCAATTCAGCTCTTAAAAGTATTTGGAAAAAACATTTAGAAGTTGAATATCATTGAAAGACTATGCTTGTTTTGTCTCCTGTTTCTTTCTGCTGCCCCCAATTTTTTAAACACTCAGGGTATGCTACTTTACACTCAATGAAGAAAGTCAACCGGAGCCAGTCATTTGTCATATCTATTCCCTGCTCTAATGACAGTAGCTCCTTCTTGACACAATGTGCCTAGTGCTGAGTTTGTGATGAATATAATTGGAATCTATGTCCTGATTCCACCTTCTGGGAGCTTAGAGAGAGGAAATACATGAACCCAGAAGTTAGGAGTCATTGCTGAGCTTCTGATGGGCTCAAAGGTAACAGATGTTGAAAACACAGAGGTCAGCTATCCCTAGACAAGTCTGAGAAGGTTTCTTAGAAGCACTCATTCCCTTGGCTGCAGCCATGCTGGAAAATACTGAGTCCCTGGCAATCCTGTTGGACACTTGTGACCACAATCTGCAGGGAACAGTGACACACTGTGAATCATCCACCAAATTGCTTAAAATGAAAGTCTCTGAGTTCACCATTTTCCCAGTTGAGAGCTACTGATATGTTTGGGTGCCCTCACGACAGATACATTGATGGTTAATAAAATATTCTCCTTTTTATGCTTATGTCAATGAAGGATGTTCTCATAGCTTTGTGAAGAAACGTTCTGAAGTAGAAGGTAATCTGTGAAGGACCACAGACTTTGGAGTCAGACACCTACATCCAATGCTATTAGCCAGTGTGACCATCCATTTCCTTCTTTGTAAGACATTACAGATCACTACTTTGCAGGATCAATGCAGTCATTGTTATGAAAACTGAATGAGATAAATTTAGTAAGATGCCTAGCATAAGACAGATGCTCACAAAGATGCTCAAATACATTTTAAAAAATTGGCTCCCTTATAATTGCCTTTCTCTTCCCCATGTCCTCTTTTGTCCAGATCCCCTAATGCCAAATACTAGTTGGCTTAGCCCTGACTCATGGTGTTCAGTAGTAGACATAAAGAAAGAGGCTTATGGAAGAGAAGAAATGTGATTACAAGTAGGTTAATCTGGTTTCAAATTTAGATCACTACAGATTAGGTGTGAGCAGACTACAGCCTGTGAGCCAAATATGGCCTGCTATTCATTCTTGTAAATAATGTCACATGAATAGAGCTGAGCTAGGAACTTAGTGACTCATTCTTGTAATCCTAGCTACTCAGTTGGTTAACAGCTGGTGAATCTGGTTCAAAACCAGCCCAGGCAGTCCATGAGACCCCATCTCCAAAATAGCCAGCAAGAAGCTGAATGGGAGGCCTGGTTCCTGTAGTAGAATGCCATTTGAGCAAGCAAGCCAGGCAAATGCAAGACCTTGAGTTCAAACCCCAATATTAAACAAAAGAAAAAGAAAGAGACCAAAGTATCATTGAACAGTTGCCACGGAGATGATACAGTGGCAAAGCCTAAAATATTTACTACATGATTTTTCCCTCTATTATCAAAATATAATTCTAAATGGCTTTTTGATATTTAGTGAAAAGAGTTATCGGGAAAGTATTTGTGATCCTATCAATGTTTAATAGATCACTTCTAACTTAGTTTGCTCAAAATAATTTTCTTCTCAGCAATGAAGATAAACTGAAAACTTGGAAGCCGAAGTTTTTTAATCCAAAGGGGAAAAAAGAGAAGGAAGATGCCAAAGGAACAGAAAGGTAGGAGTACAGGTGCACAGGAGTCCTTACAACTGCTGTGCTGCAATTCCCGCCTCTGTGAAATCTACAGCAAGTCATGAAATCTGACTCAAACTCATCATCGACAAAATGAGAGTAAATCTTCCTCACAGTGCAGCAGCTAATCTTTGAACTATAAAAGACAAGGATAACCTTCAGCTCCACACATTTACCTTCATCCTCATCCTTTCCACTTTTGGGGGAAGAGGAATGATGGTGAATGGAAAACTTCTAGGCTCCTATCAGACTATAAGAATTTTTCCCCTAAAAGATAGAACACCACTTAAAACTTGCTCAAATGGCCGAGAAGAGGAGAAACTAAATATCATGTAAGATTGATTTCCTTAAAGTACAATATAATTCTAGTTATAACTATACTGAATTTACTTTTTTAAAAACGCTTTATTTGCCAGGCACTGTTGGCTCATGCCTGCAATCCTAGCTACTCAGATGACTGAGGTATGGAGGATTTTTGCTTTGAGGCCAGCAGGATGGGAAAGTTCCCTAGGCTCCATCTCCAAAATAACCAGCAAAAGCTGACCTGGAAGCATGCCTCATGTGGTAGAACATCTGCATAGCAAGTGTGAAGCTCTGACTTCAAATTCCAGAGCCATCAATAAAAAGTATAAAGGCTTCTTCAATTCACATTCTAACCTTCATTCACAGAATTCAGGCCCACTGCCTGGATTTTGCTGACTTGGGTGTTAGCCAATCTCTGTGCTCCACTCTCCTCAGATGCTAAGCTGTGGATCCAAGGGAATTATTTGAGCAAATGTGTTGGGGAAACCCTTAGTAAACAGTCAATGAGCCATGAACAGTGTTGTCTGTCTGCTCTGGGAAACCTGTTTAGAAAAGACTTACTGGGGCATGGCAAAAGAAGTCAGACAAGGGTCTCCACCAAATCTAAACACAGAGCAAGACACAAGATGACCATTCTCTTAAGTTTATTTTCTTTGGTTTTAGACCTGATGTAATTTGTTTTTCTCTGGTTGAAAAGATATATAGACTAGAAAAGCAGGGTTTTGTTTTTTTTTTTTTTTACATTTAACTTCCTGTTTTTACATAGGTTTACCTCACATAGCAAAACAGAGGGGGAAAGTTATCAGTAAAAGTTTTGATTCTTCCCCAACAGAGCCTTCAGCACATAGATGCTTATGAATATGAATTTCTAGGAAATAAAATTTCTAGTACTTTTTATGTCTTTAAACAAACTGACATAATAGGGCATGTTTATGCCCAACTGATTAAATGTGAAAATGTGGTCCCAAGGCTATTGTTAGTCCTGTTGATTGATGAAACAGTTTCCTTTAAAATGGTTTCTTTCTCTACCAGGAAGAAATACTTTCTATACTATTTCACTCCTTTGTGTGTGTGTGTGTGTGTGTGTGTGTGTGTGTGTGTGTGTGTGTACAAGGCTTCACTTGGCTTTTTTACTCAAGGCTGGTCCTCTACCACCTGAGTCACAGCTTCACTTCTGGCTTTAAAAAGTTATTTGAGCCGGGCGCTGGTGGCTCACGCCTGTAATCCTAGCTACTCAGGAGGCTGAGATCTGAGGATCGCGGTTTAAAGCCAGCCCGGGCAGGAGAGACCGTGAGACTCCTATCTCCAATAAACCACCAGAAAACCGGAAGTGGCGCTGTAGCTCAAGTGGTAGAGCGCTCGCCTTGAGCTGAAGAGCTGAGGGACAACGCCCAGGCCCAGAGTTCAAGTCCCACGACCGACAAAAAAGAAAAAAAAAGAAAAAAAGTTATTTGATGGTAACATCAGAGGGGTTACAGTTACATAAGTCAGGCAAAGAGTACATTTCCTTTTAGACAGTGTCACCCCTGTCCTCACTCTCTCCCACTCTGGCTCTTTGCTGCTTAATTGGAGCTAAGAATCTCCTAGATTTTTTTCTGCTGAGGCTGGCTTGAAGCCACAATCCTCAGATCTTCACCTCCGAGTAGTTAGGATTACAAGCATGAGCCACCAGCACCTAGCTAAATGTTTTTCTTAATAAAAGATGGTGGCAATCAGGCCATGCGATCAGGCCTAGATGGCCTTAGTAGGTGATATCTGTATAGAGAAAAGGGCAGCTCTTAAGCTGGAAAGAAAACATAGGTTGTTGAGGACAATTATTAAAAGTTTATGTGAAAAAGTAACTCTGCTACACTGCTGGTGGGAATTTCAACTAAGGCAACCACTGAGGGAATCAGTACTGAGAGTCCTTAAAAACTAACAGTGTGAATCTAGCTTTCCACCCCACCAGACCACTTAGGCATACAGACAAAGAAAAGTAAAGTGATATGCAAGAGAGATACCTGCAGAACTATGCTCACTGAAGAGCTATTCATAGTAGCAATTAGTATACTAACAACCAAACTGTGGCATCAGCAGAGGTGCCCAACAACCAATAAATGAATGATTAACACGTGGTACATATATGACACAGAATATTACTCAGCCATAATGAAAAATGGAATTACATCATTTGGAAGAGAATGAATGGAACTCAAGCTCATCATGTTAAATTAAATGAGCTAAACTCAAAATGGCAAATATGTTTTTACTCTGTGGATTATAGCTCTAAAAGACATATACATACGCATCTACAAATACATAAATATATGTTTGTCTGGGCATACACACATGCGTATAACATGATTGCAGTTGTTTCACTGTTGGGGAAGAGGGAAAGAGAATGATGGGGGAATAATATTGGAATACACTGTATATAGATGGCAGAAAGAATCTAATTGGAAGCTGTTGAACAATAGCAAGTTAGGGGGAAAAGTTAAAGAAAGCAAGGAGTTCTATTTAGCTAAATTATAATATACGCATGTGTGAAATACCATGGTACCCTTTGCATCATTAGCATATGCAAAAACAAAAAAAGAATGACAGGAAACTAAAACAGTCTCTGAGGGGTAGGGTAGCTGCAGGCCTGGGGGGCATGGTGTATTTACATGCAACTATGCATGTATGCAATAGACTAATGGGTGAATTTGACCAGGGTGCCCTGTATACATGTACGGAAATGTCACGATGAAATCCTCCTTATACAACAAATAGATGTTAACATTACTTTAAAAAAATACTTTAAAAAGTAATAAAAGCTCATGTAGCCTACTAACAGGGTTGGATTTTCCCTAAAGGCAGCTGAGGGGTACTAGAAGGTTTTACGCAGGCAATATTATGATTAATTACATTTTAGAAAGGCACCCTGGGAAGCAGGTTGTAGAGGGAGGTTTTAAGGAGAGGCAAGATGATGGTATTTTGAGCAAAAAGTATTCAAAGGAAGAGATGCAGGAGGCACATTGTAATAAAATAGGCGGGCAGACTGGGTTGACAGTTTTCCTTCTGTCCATAGACAGAATGATGAAGAAGCAAAACGCATCTCACATTCCAAATCCTTCAGAAAATGGGTAGTTCATTGTGTTCATAGACTTGTAATTCCCTGTTATGGTTGAAGGGTTGTTAACACAAAGGGCAAGCCCCTTACCAACTGTTGCTGGATACCATTAAACCATCTGAAGAATTACATATTTCCTTACACTTTCCTTCAGTAGATTTTTGTTTTTATAGTTCTAGACCTGATTCTGAAAAGCTCGTCTCTTTCTCCCTTTTCATTCTTTCCTTTACCTTTCCTTCCTTCTCTCCCTACCACTCTTTTCTCCTCCCCTTCCCTTTCCCACCTTCCCTCCCCTTTTCTTCCTTTTCCCCCCTTGCTTATAAAACTAAGGTTTGAAATCAAATCCTTGCACTTACAAGGCAGGTGCTCTGCCCCTTGAACTATGCCCCAGCCTTTTTTGCTTTATTTTTTTTTCATTCATGCTTCTGTCCAGGTCTGGTCTCACACCACAATCCTCCCATCTATACCTCACACAGAGCTGGGTTGACAGATGTGAGCCATAGCACCCAGCTTATTTTTGAGATAGAATCTTACTAACTCTTGCCTGGGCTAGCCTCAAGTTGGGATCCTCAGATTCTCCTATCTCTGCCTCCCAAGTTGCTTGGTTTATAGGCATGAGCCATCATACCCGTCTCAGTGTTTCTTGTTTACCTTAAATTGTTTAATTAATTTTTTAATGTTTTAAATTCTTAGCTGAACATATTTGTGAGGTATACTGTAACATCTACTATAACATATATGTATATGAGGTAAAATGATCAGCTCAGAGTACAATCATATCTATCACCGCATTTCCTGGTATCAGGAGCAGATCTTCTCTGCCAGCTGTTTCAGAATATATAATTAATTGCTGTCAATTACATTTTACCTACTCCTAGAAGTCATTCCTGCTCTCCACCTGTACTTCTTGTACCCATGAGCTGTCCTCTATCAACCGGATTTAATCCTAAGTTACCATAATATCAAAAAACAGTTATTTTCAGTGGTGAAATGCATGCTTAGATCTGTGAGGCCCTGGATCTGACCCTAGCCAACTGGGGAAAAAAAGCACATACATGTATACACTAAATGATAAGGAAAAGTGATTTTTTTTATTAGTAATATATTACATGTACTTTAATTATATATAGACATCTCACATTCTATAAATATATTCATATATTGAAATATACACTGGAATATACATATACATCTCTCACTCACTCAAATACATATATATGTATTTGCAGCAATTTATGCATCTATCTATTTATATATTGGCCACTCCTGGAGGTTAAACTTAAAAAAGTGATTTTTAGCTGTTTTCACAATCTGCTCTAGTGGGTATAAATAAATGCACAACATAGATATATAACTTTATATAACTATTCACATATAAATTTGTATCACTATTTATCTATTATCACTATTTAACATTTTATTATAGCACATTTAACTCTCTTGGCATTTTTCTTATCAGTTTTCCTTCTAGAAATTTCTTCAGAACCAAGAAGCAAAACTTAGAAAATAAAATGGAAAGAGAAGAAAAACTTTTTAGAGAAAGATTTCAGGTATGTTGCCCTATAAAAATGAAAATGAACAATATTAACAGCTTGGAACTTCTACCTTTTTTTGTGAAAATACCGTACAGAGGGGTGACAATTACATGTGCAAGGTAATGAGTACATTTCTGATCAAGCATTGTTGTCTCCTCCTTTGTTTCCCCTTCCCATCTCTTCCCATCTCCTACCTCCCTACTCCCACCACCCCAGCCAAAGTTGTAAAGTTCATTTTTTGACATAACAACTTGTACATCTCATTGTTGCAATGGGTCCACCTGTATCCCTATTTAAACAAATTATACCAACATCAAATACAAAGAAAGCAGGGGTTATACCATGGGGGAGGGACATACAAAGCAACAAAGAAATCATCTTATAAATATGTTAGAAACAATCACAAGAAAGAAAAAAACATTTGAATACTTATCTTGGGTTTTTTTCAACTTTCTTTTTTTTAATTTTTATTTATTTTTTATTGTCAAAATACTGTACAGAGGGGTTACAATTACATGGGCAAGATAATGAGTACATTTCTTATCAAGCATTGTAGCCTCCTTCTTTGTTTCCCCTTCCCATCCCTTCCCATCCTCCCCCTGGCCCCCCACCTAATCCTCCCGCCCCCCCCCCCAAAGTTGTAAAGTTCGTTTTTGACATAACAAATTGTACTTCTCATTGTTGCAACAGGTCCACCTGTATCCTTATTTAAACGACTTGTTTTTCTCTTCCCCTCCACAAATTCTTGGGGGGGTTATTTCACCTAACATCAACTTATCTGAGCTTTTGTGCTTGTCTCAGACATATACTAGTTATTGCAAATAAGGAAAACCATGGGACCTATGTTTCTTTGGGCCTGGCTTACTTCACTTAATATAATTTTTTTCAAGTCTTTCCATTTCCTAACAAATGGGGCAATGTCATTCTTTCTGATGGAGGCATAGAATTCCATTATATATACCACATTTTCTTGATCCATTCATCTACTGAGGGGCATCTGGGTTGGTTCCATATCTTAGCTATGGTAAATAATGCTGCAATAAACATAGTTGTGCTGGGAGTTTTAGTATGGTCTTGTTCGTGATCATTTGGGTAAATGCTCCAAAGTGGGATTGCTGGGTCATAGGGGAGCTCTATGTGGAGTCTTTTGAGGAAACTCCATACTACTTTCCAAAGTGGTTGAACAAGTTTACACTCCCACCAACAATGTAGTAAGGTTCCCTTCTGTCCACATCCCCTCCAGCATCTGTTGTTATTAGAGTAATTGATTATAGCCATTCTAACTGGGGTAGGTGGACTCTCAATGTTGTTTTGATTAGCAGTTCTTTTATGGCTAGGGAGGTTGAGCATTTCTTCATGGGTCTATTGGCCATCCTTCTTTCCTCTTCAGAGAAGTTTCTCTTTAAGTCTTTAGCCCACATATTTATTGGGCAGTTGTTTCTTTGAGAATTTGTTGTTGGGGGATTTAATTTTTTGAGTTCCAGGTATATTTTAGATTTGAGACCTTGTCCATTGTATGGCCAGTGAAGATCTTCTCCCAATCCATGGGCTTTCTATTGATCTTGCTAACTATGTCCTTTGCCATGCAGAAGCTCTGCAATTTCATGCAATCCCATTTGTCCAACCTTTCTTTGATTTGTTGTGTTTCTGGGCCTCTTTTAAGAAAATTTCTGCCTATGCCAAGAAGACCTAGCATTTCTCCTATTCCTTCCTGTAATGTTTTCACAGTGTCTGCTTTGACTCCAAGGTCTTTGATCCATTTGGAGTTGATTCTGGTGCAAGGTGATATATAAGGATCTAGCTTTAGTTTTCTACAAGTATTAACTAATTTTGCCAGCACCATTTACTGAAGAAGCTGTCTTTCTTCCATTCTATTTTTTAGCTCCCTTATTGAAGATTAGATGGCTATAGGTCTGTAGGTTCATTTCTGGGTTTTCAATTCTATTCCATTGGTCCTGAAGTCTGTTCTTGTGCCATTACCAAGCTGTTTTGATTACTATGGCTTTGTAGTAGAGTTGAAATTTGATATTGATATTCCTCCAGCACTATTCTTTCTGTTAAGGATCATTTTTGCTATTTGGGGTCTTGTATTGTTCCATATGAATTTTTGGGTTGCCTCTTCTATTTCCTTGAAGAATGAGGTTGGAATGTTGATAGGTATCCCATTGAATTTGTAGGTAGTCTTAGGAAGTATTGCTATTTTCACGATGTTGATTCTTCCAATCCAGGAGCATGGGAAGTTTTTCCACTTTCTAAGTTCTTGGAACTTCCATCTTTAAAAACTGAGTCTCTAAGAGAGATGTGATCTTTGACTAGAAAAAGTTGACATTCCAGATTAATTTTTTATATTTGCATATTTGTATGCTTTTTGTATATGTTTGTATATTTGTATATTTCTAAGCTATTCTGTGTGGCTTTGTTCCAATGTCATTTCTCCTTCCCTAGATCATCTGGATAAAAAACCCTCTCAGCACATTTTTATACATCTACAGTACATAATTTTTTTTGGTTGGTTGTGGGGCTTAAACTCAGGGCCTGGGTACTGTCCCTGAGCCTCTTTGTGCTCAAGGATAGCACTCTACCACTTGAGCCACAGTGCCACTTCTGGTTTTATGAGTGGTTAATTGGAGATAATGGTCTCAAGGGGACTTTTATGCCCAGGCAGAAAAGATCCTGAGATCGTCAGGTCTTATCCTCCTGAGTAGCTAGGATTACAGGCATGAGCCACAGACACCCAGCTAATACATAAATCTTCTAACACTGATTGGTTACATTATGGTAGATACATATATGTATTTCCTGAAGCAAGTTTAGATCCCTTTGGAAGGTGATCCTATCTTATGTAAGTTGCTCCTCAATTCCCAGCATAGAACTATGAAATGTTCGGTGAATGAATGACAAAATAAACAAACATGAAAGATATTTGAATGAATGAATAAAGCAGCATCTGAAACATTTTGACAACTTATTGTCATGAAGGGTCCTGGGAGCACTTTTCCACAAAGTTCAAATGATCCTTTGTGATTTCATGTATTGTCAAAGTGAGAAACATGGTTAGCAACACCCACGTGCACTGAAGTCTCCCACAAATAAAATCCAGGCTCCCTAACATGGCCTAGAAAGCTCTTCCTGTCATCTTCCTGGATGTATCTCCTGACGCTCTGTCCTTGCACTTTCTGCTTTGGCAGCAAACTGCAAACTGCTCATCATTTTGTCCTAAGATGACTTTCCACTTTGGGTCCTGCTATCTCCCTTGTCTAGGCAGTTGCCTAGAGAAAGGCTTGACTTGTTCATCTATCAGGACTCAGCATCATCTCTTCCAGGAATACTTACCGAAACCTCCCTAATTTTAAAAACAAACTCTTCTATTCAGAAAAATACCTAAGCCATCTGTAGCTTATTACAATTACATATTTATCCTATGAAACTATGAGTTCCAAAGGGAGAGGATTATCTTATTGATCCTCAGAGCAGAATACCCTACCTAACACTGAAAGCATCCCAAACTATTTCTGAATGGAACTAAAATAGGAATGCACATTGAGCTCTGGGGTTGGGGATTTAGCTCAGTGGAAGAGTGCTTGCCTGGTAAGTGCAAGGTCCTGAGTTCAGTCCTCAACCACACAAAAAGGAAGGAAGGAAGGAAGGAAGGAAGGAAGGAAGGAAGGAAGGAAGGAAGGAAGGAAAGAAGGAAGGAAGGAAGGGAGGGAGGGAGGGAGGGGGGGAGGGAGGGAGGGAGGGAATGAGGGAGGGAGGGAGGGAGGGAGGAAAGAGCAAGCCAGCTAGTGCTGGTGGCTCACAATCCTAGCTGCTCAGGAGATTGAGATCTGAACACTATGGTTCAAAGCCAGCCCAGGCAGAAAAGAAAGTCTGTAAGATTCTTCTTACCTCCAATTAACCACCAGAAAACTGGAAGTGAAGCTATTACTCAAAGTGGTAGAGTGCTAGCCTTGAGCAAAAGAGTTCAGGGACACTGCTCAGGTCCTGAGTTCAAGCCTCATAACTGAACAACAACAACAAAAAGAAACAAATAAGAAAAAAAATTCTAAGGCAACTAGCAAAAAAACCTCTGATGGTAAGTCTTACTTTGGTCATGGCTGATTAGCTTTACTATATTTAGGAAATTATGATCTGAAATTATCTACTGCAATTTGTGATGTTATTTGATTAGGTAAAACCCAACAGGATAGCAATTGATTGTTGCAAAGATCCCTACTATATCCCATCTATCTTATATGGGACAGAAATTCTATTTTCTCTATATCTGTATGATTCTATTCTTCACTACCAGCCGTGGGTTTCCAGTTTCACTAGAAAAACTATGCCATTTCAATAATTTTTACTTAGTTCACTTTACAAAATATTGGGTATCTCATTGACGCCTGGCACAGATGAACAGATGAATAGATGTATAGATGAATACGACGTTTTGTATTTTCATTTTCTAGGACGTTATGTTTATTAAGTGCTATATGACATGTATATTCATAGTAGAATCAAACAGTAAATTGTACATAGCAGTCATAAAAGTATGTGGAGTGGATAAGAGATATTTCAAATAGAAAAGACAGCATGAGCAAAAGCACAAAAAGAGAGTGGTCCATTCTAGGACTGCCCATGGCTTCAGGAAGCTTAAATACAGGATACAGATCGAGGAACAGGAATGATAGCCTGCAAAGTACCGTAAATGTCAAGCTATGAAGTGTGGGTCTTATTCTAAAAGCAGTGAAAAGTTTTCACAACTTATTAACTAGGAAGGTGACATAATTATATTTGTATTTTAAGAAATCATAGAGATTCACAGTATACCAAGGTCTGGAGAGAATAAAAAGGCCAGTTATTATGAAGGTATTATAACCAGGCACTGGTGGCTAACCCTGCTAGTTTCTCAGGAGGCTGAGATTTAAAGATCATGGTTTGAAGCCAACCCAGGCTACAAAGTCTGTGAAACTCTCATCTTAATCACAGAAAAAGCCCCAAGTGGTCCTGTGGCTCAAATAGTAAAGTGCTAGCCTTGAACAAAATGGCTCAGGGACAGCTCTCAGGCTCCAAGTTCAAATCCTATGACAAACAAAAATTTTAAAAAAGAAGTTATTATTTGGTAGGTGAAAGACTATACTTGGTATAAAGTGATCTTATATCATCCAAATTCAGGGTAATTCTGAGATTGGAAGGAAAGGCTATTTATCATATATTAGTTATAAACAGTGTTTTAGGCAAAGGGGGATATATGGACACTCTATTTTGGTGAAAAAAAGCACCTGTAATCTTAGCTTAATATTTTCAGACCAACAATTTGTTAGAAGGTAAAATACATCATGCAAATAGGCAGACAACTAGCCTCTCTCTCTCTCTCTCTCTCTCTCTCTCTCTCTCTCTCTCTCTCTCTCTCTCTCTCTCTCTCTCTCTCTCTCCACACACACACACACACACACTCCTGTGGGATTAGAAATCCAACTTCCTATCATTTACAAACGCCAGCCTCTCACTGAAGTAGGAATGAGAATTACCCCCCCCCATGTCCCCAATTCCTACCACTTTTAAGTACATATACTACAGTGCATTGTGCTATAATGCACAAACATACACAACTAGGAAGGTACACATACACAACTACAAATGGTAGATATATAAGAATATTATAAACTCCATGGCACAGAAACAGGGCTTGTTGTTAACATCTTTCCAGGGTTTAGAAGTAACTATGACTGTAATAGCACATTTCCACATCTTCTATCTGGCAGGATTCATTCCGCTATGACTAGACAGTGAATGTAAAAAACATAGTGCAAATATCATCAGGCCAAACAAATGTAAGAGTATAGTGCTTTACTCTTAAATGTCTTTCCTTGCAGAGTCTATGTTCCTGTTATTTTCAATGCTCCTCCAAGTATTGGTCAATATCTAGCACATTGACTTTATATTGAGGTTACTATACTATATCCTCCACTAATTTTGTCATAATGAAAAAGAGTAACAATGATGGAAGGATTTTCTTACCAGTAATTTCTCGTTGTAGTATGACAAAGAGATTGTAGTCATCAACAGAGCAGTAGCATGTTCCAGTAACTCAAGAAATGGAATATTCGATTTGCCAATAACTTCTGGAGAACAACTAGAGGTCATCGATACCACGGAGCAAAATATGGTGATATGCCGCAATTCTAAAGGCAAATGTAAGTGTGTTGGCTTTCTGCCCATAAAATTTCCAATCACTATTAAAAGAAAAAAAATTAAGCATTTTCTGTGAAGACTTCAGATTAAGTGACTTTTATCCCTACAGATGGATATGTGCTCATTGAACATCTACAGTTCCAGTAAGTTGATTTTTATACTTCAAATCATTCATTCTTAGTACTTAATATGGTGGTGTGCAGCTATTAGTCTGAGGGCAAGATTATTCAATTTATTAAAAACTATGCATGTGGTGTCTGATCTCTCCTATAAAGACTGCCTTGAAAGAGACATTTTTGTGTCTCCTTAGTACCAAGCTGACAAAGCATATTTTAAAGGAGCATATAATACTAAACTGGGTAAGAATTTCTCCAGAAATCTCTTGCACTGTTCCATTAGCCTCTGTTTAAAAAAAAATATTTTTCTTTTATCCCCAGGCACCAAGGTTGGTCACGTTAGGAAGATCAAGGTCAAGTGTGAAGGACAAAGGCCTGAATAGGCGTAAAGGGCTCCAGGACTGAGCCCTTCCTCAAGAACTTTGCTTCTTGTCAAACTTTGCTGCTTGTCAAAGCAGACTTTGATGAAACTTTGTTGGGAACTCGGAGAAGGAAAACAAAGGCAGCATCTTCCTGGAGACAGCAGCTTTTCTTCTCTGAGTTTATCTTTCAATGTCTATTTTTACTGCCAGTTCAAGAGAATGTGAAAGACTATGCATTAGCCATTGAGCACTTGCTTAATGAGCCATATCCAAAGTTGGAAATTGTGCATTATAGCACCCAGTCAGATGTGCAGATGGTTAGTTGGCTCCTAATATTAGTTCACAAGCATTTGTAATGCTACATGTTGTACATTTAAAATCTGGCATCCAAAAAAAAAATCTGGCATCCATTCTGCATAGTAAATAATGTAACTATGTTCTTTTACTCAAATACTAAGTACAATTTTAAAATAAATGTGTTATTTTTCCTTTTTTAAGAAAAAAATCAGATTAAATACTGTTCAACCTGAGTTTCCTTTGGGAAGTTTGTCAAAAAAGAAATTATTCTTCAAGTAATTCTTTTTTTTGGGGGGGGGGGGGGAGCAGTGAACTCTGGTCCTGGGCACTGTCCCTCAGCTCTTCAGCTGAAGGTTAGCACTCTGTACCACTTGAGCCATAGCACCACTTCCAGCTTTTTGCTTATGTGGTGCTGAGGAATTGAACCCAGGGTCTCATGTATGCAAGTCAAGCACTCTACCATTGAGCTACCTTCCCAGCCCTTCAATTAATTCTTAACTATTCCTATTATCATTTTAAGACAAATCTACATATATTGAACAATTTTTAGCAAAACTATACATGCTGCACAACTTTAAAACACCATTACCCAAAACAGGAAAACTTCATTTATGTATGCCCCAAAAGTTATTCAAATAGAATTTAATTTATATGAAAACAAATGGAAACTAAAACAGTTGTGATGCTCTATTTTTAAAATTATGTGTACTGTGGATTGATAAATAAATTATATATATGCATTCAACTGTTTTAAGATTTCAATGGCTTTATCTCCACTGAGTAACTGAAGTAGTTTGCCCTATTTAAACAGAGTGATCTGGCCCTCAAGGAAAGAAAAGAATTTGTTTCCATGGCCTTATCCTTCATATGCTGAGACTACTTTTTAACATTATATTTTTATTTTCTATTTCATGTTCCATCTGGCATTTGCCAAGAAAGACCTGTCTTCAAGACAGGAATCAAAGAACAGAGTTTAAGAGAAGAAAGTAGGTAGAGATTATTTTATTACAGATGCCATAAGTAAGTAGTGAATGGAATGGCCAGAGGATCAAGAAACGCATTAGAGATGATGATACTGAAATTCCAGCACAGAGCTGGAAAATGCATCTTCTGTCTAGTGACTAGTGGCCTCTAAATACTATAAATGACAGCTAGCCCACGGCCAGCAAGGAATAGGAGCCTTGTCCTCTAGCAGCACAGAACTAAATTCTGCCAAAAACCTGAATAAACTGGTAGCAGATTCTCCCACAGAGGCCTGGTCTATCAACTATTTTGTTTTCACTTGGTATGACTTGAAGTAGAAAACAATAACAACAACAATAAAACTAAGTCCACCGGATTTGTGACTGTATGATAATAAATTTGTGGTGTTTTTATTGAGTAGTTAAGAAAATTCTGTGAAGTTGTTTAGAAAAACCCAATCATACCCACTGGACTTCGGAAGAATAAGATCATACATGTGTGTTGAGTCCTTATCTCTGTAGTCATAGCTACAACAGCAAAGTCATGTGATAACTAACGTTGAACTCTACAGTGTGGAGTGTCTCAGAAGGCGGGAACAGAGAAGATGATGTGAGCTCTCCAGTGAGTCTCTTTCTACAGCAGCTTGCTCGAGAACTGTCAGTTGACACACAGCATAATAGTTCAATGACTGAAGAGAAACACAAAACAGCTTTCAAATGAACCAGACTTTAATTTGATTTTGTGACAAAAGCATATAGGTGATCAGACCCTGTGTTTGTTGCTGATGAGTCCCATACAGTCCAAACACTGCAAAAACCCTCTAGCTGTGAACTGTCTAGATGACAATACCCTATTTCCTCCCCACCCTTCATTTAACACGCCCAAAGGTACATAACAAACAAAACTGAAATTTGAGTATATGTTTATTAAAGCACTGGAAGTCTTCTTCGCTTCCCCCCCAAAACGGATTATAAAAAGTGGTCCCAATTTCCAAAAATTAATCTTAGCCAGGTGGCAGTATAGTGGCTCACACCTGCAATCCTAGCTACTTAGGAAGGTGATATCTGAAGATTGCAATTTGAAGCCATCCTGAGCAAGAAAGTTTGTGCAACTCTTACCTCCAATTAATCACCAAAAAGTGGAGCTGTTGCTCAAGTGGTAAAGCACTATCCTTGAGCAAAACAGTTCAGGGACAGTGCCTAAGCCTGGAGTTCAAGCCCAGGATTGGCACACACATATGAAAAAAAAAAACACATTAAAAAAATCCAGTGTGTTAATGTTCTGGCCTCTGACATTTATATTTTTTCAAAGACCTGTTAAAAATAAATATGTGACATTTTGTGGGACAAATAAATAACTACTATTCAACCATACATTATGATTGTCATAGTTAAAACCTAATAGCTTTCAACTTTCAGTTTTATTTGTGGAACTCAAAATCCACTGCATAATATTTATACACCCATGATAAAGAACACATCACACCTTCTAAAACTGTATCAAGATACTCTTCTTCATATTCTATCCACAACTTCATTAAACAATCAAAACAGTATACAGCCATAGGTGCTTGTCAACAGGCTTGACACAACACTGTATTTTTGGTACATTAAGGCAGCTTCAACCAATGTTCAAAGAAATTCTAAAAAACAATATTTGTCCAACACAAAAGACATGTATGATGAATACTGGGTGCTTTGGAGAAATGTAGTTTGTCTCTTAAAGCAAAAACACCATGATTTGTGAGACTGTGGTCTTCAACATTCTTAGCACTGTTCTTACCATGTAAGATTCATCAAAAAAGTCAGGACACTCATCCTACCAGTATCAAAGATACATATTATAAAAGGAAGGGGTTTATCTTAAATACGTGGATATAAACCCCTATTTAAACATGGGCCTTTTACACAGTCTCTCAGACACATCTGTGAGGTAGGTTATTATCCATGTTTTGTACAAGAGAAAGGTTATGTGGGCTGTGCCACAAAAACAGCCCAACAGAGAATTTCATTCCAACTAAATTTGTCCTTAGTTTCCATCATTGCTCTCTTTAATAACTTTTAAAATATTTTAAATGCTCTTCACTGCATTCATTTTAAAAGCATGAGAAGGCAGTCAAATATTTACTCAGGTAACTTTAAAAGTGTGACGACATAAAAGACAGAAAATGCATTTAGTGGTGATAAATGTGAGGTTTGGCCAAAGGAACTTGAATACAGACAGGCAGAAAAAAGCAACTCACAGAGGGTACAGGTAAGGAGAAGTAAGAGGAATCAGAAAAAAAAGGAAACACCATTCCAACAAATTTATTATTCCTGCTTCTATAATCCAAGAAGGCACAGTTAAGTGTTTTTATTTTTAGAATGGTGGATCTACTTCTTGCCCATTCTACAAGTGATCATATCTAGAAAATGCACCGCCACCCCTTTATAACAAAACTTACTTAAAAAGGACTTCTGTGAAAAAAAATTATATTTAATAGCAGGAAAAAAATGAACCCAACTCTCTTACCTAGAATATTTGTTTCTTCTTAAAATTTTAAATGAACACATAGTAGTAAAGCCCAAATAATAATACTAATAAAACCTGTATAAACTTGTCAAAACTTGTATTTGTTCCAAATCTCTTCATGCTGGGATATTCTACAAGTACTTAATTCTTCTCTTTGAAGGAATATTGTACTCTAGGATTTCCTTAATTGCACTTGAGTCTTGATTGAAATCTACCTACCCTGCTTGTCCATATAATCAGGAGTTACTTCCACAAAATCAAAACTGCTTTTAATTATAAACCAGAGTTCCCCAAAGTCACGCAGTCAGGGCTGCAAACTCACACTGCTGTGCAGAGCTAGCAGTAAGTACTCACCCTGTTTCACAGCATTAACACCCTAAGACCAAACCTGATTCTTACCAGGTTATGGCTAAAGAAGTCTATTGGAAAGTTACTCTGGTCTAGACTGTGAGTCTTGTTCTTCATGCTATCATGTCCAACTTTAAGGGAAAAAGACTAGAAAGGATGCTAGTATCTTTTCTAAGGAGGACATCACATTTATAGCTCACTAAACGTGTCACATTTCAGTTTTAAAAGCCAATAATGATTACATAATTCACACACAAACACTCATGAAAAAAAGTATTACGTCATTTTTGTACAAAATTTACAAAAACATCTGTCATTAGACAAGTCCAATTTAAACAATAGTCCAAAGTATGATCATTTAAATAGGGACTGAGACTAATTTTCCTTTGTACAATGAGACTGTGCTATAAGAATCATATAGATAAGCACTGGGGATACAGCTTAGTAGAGCACTTGCCTAGCAGGCACAAGGCTTCAATCCTCAGCACCACATTTTTTTGTTTTAAATCACATAAAATTACAGGAAGAATCGTATCTCAAAGATTTTTCAGTATTTTAAGCACCCTTAATAACTTAGAAGTAAATTTAAAATCAATATGTTCGTCATAAATATTTCAGGTAATTATATCTTATTAATGCAATCGACTGATTCCTACGACTAAGAAGTACATAGTTAAGACTACTAGTGTCACTCAAAGACTTGAAAGCAATCACCTGTGCTTACTCCCATACCCTGACAACACAGGCGTGACACTTATGCAGACTGCTCTGCTCCAGCGTCAGATGAGACACATGAAGACCAACTCACCACTACTGAATACTCTTCTATGGCACGCAAGCTTTATGCCAAGCTTTCTGGTCCTGCTTGCTCGTAAAATATGCATTTTCTGGTTACTTCACAAGGTTACTGTTATAGTTCAAAGAAGGGTCTCTGTATCTAACACTAAAAATAAAAA